TTTTTAAAGTATCAAACTGAATTTTGTTCAATAAAAATCTTTCATATGCGACTGTAGCTTTTTCCCCCCAAAACTTTGTCTTCAAAATAAGGGTGCGTCTTATATTCCGAAAAATACGGTAGTTATATTGAAAAGGCATTGTGTCCACAAAAAATAAGATGAAAGCGGTTTCTCATTTTCAGTTTTCGTGTAGGCATGATACTGAAAACCATTTTTTTACATTAGTTTCTGCCCATTTAACGTTTGAACGTCATATGCGATTAAGAAATTTGTGGTTAAATAAATAAATATATATAGAAAAAAATTAAGAGGCCTAATCCGTCATATTTAAGTGATAGAATTTGTTATTAAGGCAAATGTAGCATTATCAACATATGAGTAGATGTACTAAAGTGTGGGAGTATAGAGGTTTCTATTTTGTTGAGAAGTCTTCGAATTTTATTTTTACACGTTTTAACATTTTCTATTGTATATGATAATGTAACAATTTGAAGATCTTATAATTACCATTATCGTGAATGTAAAGCCAATAAAATTATGCTAGCTCGCATTAAAATTGGGAAGAGCTCTTGTTGAGGTTTTCTTAGTAAATGTCTAGTTAAATTTAGCTAAACTGGATGTAAACTATATCACAGAAGCTTTCCGCTGGTTCCACTTAGTCTTTGACTAGCGCATTAAAAAAACAACAACCTTGAAACGAGTGCTTAAGAAGGTTCCACTTTTTTATCGAGTTCAGTTTACAGCATATGAGCTATATAAAGTACACGAATGAAAGTGTGCTAATATTAACATGTATAGATTATTCTTTCGTTTTGATAGTTCTGTTATAAAATAGCATTTTATGTAGGATTATCTCAGATACTCAAATTTTAGACCGTTTTATGACAATACCAGACAGAAAGGCGCGATGCACTCGCTGCAGTTCGGAAAGAAAATAACTCAAACGAAATTGGTCTTGGGCCAAAGGTCTATGGATGGAGATGTCCACATTTTAAAATGACGCAATTCAAGTTTAAGGTTTCTCTCAGTTATTTTGAGTACATTTTCTAACAACTCCCTCATTGTGACAATTATAAAATAACGAAACTCTTTCTTTCGTTGGACATGAAAAAGAAAATTACCGCTTTTAAGCAAAATGTACACTGTATTGCCCCGTTTTCATTATTGATATTTATCTTCAATGAAAAGTACCAACAAGCACTTGTTTTTACGAAATTTAAAGGTACGCAGTTGCATTGTTTAGTCTAAGAGTATTATATCAACTTAAACTCTTTTAGCCCCCAGTGGCACAGTGGTATCTCTGGGGACTTACAACGCTAGAAATCAGGTTTCGATACCCGTGGTGGGCGAAGTAGCTTTGTGCTTAATTACAAACAAATGAACAATAAACTCCTTTAAGGTGTTATAATAATAATCTTTGATTTTCTACTATTGTGGTTTTTGAGGTTAATAGGAAAGTAAAAATTTTACACGGTGCTATTATAGCTGTAAAACTAGCCTGTAAGTTAAAATCACTGAACTGAAACAACTATCTACTTATTGTTTTCTACAATTTAAAGTTAATAGACGATACTGAGTAGAAATAAGGATATATATATTTTAAGTACAAACAAATGAATCTTAATTTTTCAATGACTCCATTTTAAAACTCAGATGTCACGTACAACTTGAGAATTATGTTCTAAAACAAATGCGATTAATTTAAGCTCAGTAAGCAATCTAAAGAAACATTATTTTTCAATTGACGTTACAAAGAATATAAGTTTAATTTAGATGTATGTGTGTGTGTATTTTTGTAGTATATCAACTTCAGGAAAACCTCAGAACCATATTAATGGTGCTAATTTTTTTTGCAGAAACGAAGCTTTTTAACATCTCAAGCTCAATTGATTAATTTATTTTAGTTTATCCGAAATTTGGCTATTGAGTATCAATTGATCGTATAACTGCATATACTAAGTAATGGTGCATTCGAGGGTATGTTTATACACTTTTCAATTGGAGGATATGGTGTTTATCCACTTCTTCTTTAGCCCCATGTAATAAGTAATGGTGCATTCGAGGGTATGCTTATCCACTTTTCATTTGGAGGATATGGTGTTTATCCACTTCTTCTTTAGCCCTTATTGCCCACCTTAACATTGCTTGACCTAGAACCAAATTACTAAAAGGATAATTTACCATCCTTTTTTTATTATTTACAACTACAACATACATGTATGTGGTAAGCTAATATGGAATTAGTTATGCAATTTTAACAAAAGTTAAAACATATAAAGCTTTTGGGGCTTGTGAAGCTACTTTTGATAAATTACGAAAAAAATGAAGAAGTGGAAAAAAGTTTAAGTACATGATATGATGATGTATATGAAGATTCATTGGTTTAACTATAGGTGAGAGATTTAATAAGAGTATTATTATATTATTTCAAACGAAAAATAATTTGGCTCATAAAAACTAAAATAAAATATTTAAATATAGCGACAAAAAAGAAAATTGGATGTTTTTTTTTTTTTGCAGATTAAGCCCTTATATATTAAGTTAATGAAGCATATAATTTTCAAATATTTAACGTTATAATTTTTCTTAAGTACCTTTATATGAATGTTTATTCTACACGTTGATTGTTTTTCGTTTTTTATAATTGTAAACGTTCTTATTTAATTTTGTTGTTTCAAAATGATTTTCTTTCCCATATTTGTATATATATAT